TTTCCATATATATTTATACTATGTTTATTTATATAAAGATAATTGTAGTTATATAAATATAATGTGGAATATACATATAAATATATATGACTTGCTTTTCCATATATATTTATACTTCATATGTATATTTATATACATATAATTTATATACATATATTAAATGTAATTGTATTTATATAAATATAATGTGGAATATACATATAAACATATATGAGTAAAGCCTTGCTTTTCCATTATATTTATACTTCATATGTGTATTTATATAAATGTAATTGTAGTTACATAATATAAATATAATGTGAAATATATAAATATATATAATAATAAAATATATATGAAATATCTTTATTCATATACTTCACTTATTATATGTATTTCATATGCTATATCTATTTTATTTAATAGCATTATATATTTTTTCACATACTTTATACTATCTTTTTCCTAGAATCATAAAAGTTAATTTATGCGATGATAATCTTAAAGAATTACAAAGATGTATAGTTTAAACAGTAATAAATTTAGAAAATCATTAAATTGCAGAACTAACTGGCTTCGTTAAGAATTCAATAAGGGACAAAAATACTCATAAAATACTCTATATTGTCTGGATTTCAATATCAATTTGAAAAGCTCAGACGACGGCCAGAAAAGCACAGAGCACGGTTGTGTGCCAAGTAACATAATCAGGACTCAATTTGCAACCAAATCTTTGTTCCTCGAAGAACAACAGCTTTTATCGTTTCGCTGGCGCTGTTAACTATTTTCTTTGCCGCATTACCTAGTTCGTGCTTAGGGCAAATATGTTTTTGTTCATCAGATAAACGGCTGGCTGTAGCAAATCCCAGTTTGTAACGACGTGTTACGCGGAGCGTAATTAATCGTTTCCTAATTATCGCATAGCGTGAACACGACACACCGGCCGAATGAACACACTCGAAGAAAAAGGACTCTTGTCTCGCCGGATGATCTTAACGCGCCGAAGGATTTCCTTTTGCATGAAATCCCGTCTCCGAAACCGGCTCGCAATGCATATTGAGCAAAGTTCAATTAAATACCAGCACGAACGTGTTCACGTGGCTTGAACTATACCGATCCCTGCCGATTGCTGCACGAACACAGATCGCTTAATAATCTTCGCTTAATACTTCTTCTATTGACTATTACTGAGAACATTAAATACGTTGAAATAATTCGCTATTTCAATTCACTAGTTTCTGTTTTATTCCAAATGCATCATAAACATATTTCATTGCATTTCACTTGCATAATGAGAAAAGGAATCCCAGGTTCATCTAGAAAGATATAAAATTGAAACACACAGAGTCAAATGAGTATTTCCATCGACAAAAGTACAACAATTGTTTCAAATTACCTAACGTAGCATTTTCTTATTTCAAACTTATTCCACTGTCTTATATCCAGCACTTGAACCAGGCGTTGAACGCTCCGTGAAACAATGCGACAATGTCGGTGCTCGCTAATGAAAAAGCTATCACGTTGAACGTGTTCATCAGACCGGCCGGATTCGAGCGGATTTAAGTAGCATGCAGCTCGTGTACCCGTTGATAGACGTTGAACGACGCACGGTTAAAGTGGAAACGCAATCGGCGCGCACCCCAACAAGGAATCGGAGATGAATACGGGCCGATACGGAGGGACAGAGTGGAAACGCGGCCAGCCAAGCGTAAACGTGTCACGCATAGGCACGTGGCCGTGTATGTACTGGCGAGAAGGCATAATACGAACGACTTCGACATGTCCCGTGACCCTTCCAATATGTTACCAACGTTTCTTTCACCGTTCCCCATTCCATCCGATCGTTGTATCAGCTAGAAGAATAATATTGTGGCTAAGATACAACCCGCGTCGATCCAGTCGTTCTTGCATCCTTGTACGCCTCCAGCAACACGTTATTTTTTCGTCAGTGTTTCTTTCTTCTAGACTCGTAGAACCTAGAACGTGTGTGTGTTTGAAGTTTTAGAAAAGTGTTAAAGTGTTGAGAGAATTATTAAATATTTATTTATGTTGAAATACAACGACTTGACCATCCAGCAGTGTAAGCCCATTGCAAATGAGGGGCAACGGTTGACGTCTGTTTTCTGTCTTCTTCCCACTATTTTTTTTTTTTTTTTTTTTTAAATGGTTTAGCGTCGCATCAATTACGAGGTCTTTAGCGACGTGTCAAAATTGACTCTTTATAACTGGTCTAGTAGTTGGGTCTCCTTTAGGTAGTTGATAACG